GTATTTCTATATTCATAATAAATTCAAAAATATAACTGAAACTATTTTTTTCCAGATAGATATTTGTAGACTATCTATTATATGAATAGATAGTCTACAAAATATTGATGGTGAAGAAATGCTTTTTAGAGTAATTAGATAGATTTATTGTGATTTATTGTGATCCAGGCGAATATATGGAGATATAATGAATAAAAAACTTTAAAGAAAACAATTCGAGAATATTGTTAAACTGATCATGGATTTTAACTGTTCTGTTTTTTCAGTCAGTAATCCCATCAGCAATTTTAAATTTAAAATTTTTGAAAACTTTAATTTCATTTTTCTCATCTAGAGATTTTCGTAAAATAGTTTTGAAAATACACTGTCGAATAGAGAATTCAATTCTCTACAAAATGGCTCGTTTTGTTTTGAGAAATATTTCTCAGTCGAGGCACAAGGGCTGCTTGCAACTTTGAACTTCCGACTCGATTTATTAAACTCTCTGATATTTGCGTATAATCACCAAAATAAATAGCCATTATTTGATAGAATAATCGCCATTGATGGCTCCTTTTAGTCGCATAAACCATGAAGTATCTCAGCATCAAAATCATCTCTCGTTCCCTTATAGGCTACCTGCCAACATTCATTAGATTTACCGTAAAGTTTAATTTCAACTGATATTCATTATTTAAAAGTGAACTATCAATAAATAAAGGTTCATTTAACATTAAGTATGTTTGACTCGTCTATCTTTTGAATAGAGATTTTTTTATCAAACTAGCTGCCTTTATAATATTGTGTTTTAACTGTTCGAGTTGCTTACCCAATTTTTCAATATCCTCTTCGTAATAGTCATCCTTCACTTTTGTTGTCGAAGTTCACTTGATAGTTGTTCGTATTGTTTTCTAAATTCAGATTGTCTCATTAGCTTATTAGCTCGTTATATTTATTACCAGTTTCAGTTGCCACTATTTTCACTAATTTAATTGTTTCATCCTCCCATTCATCAACAGTGTGTACTGATATGCTGTTGTAACTTGACTTTGTCGAATATATTTCTTGATAGGTGACTTGTACACTTAACGGTCTCCTTCGTTTCAGGAGTTTGAGTGAAATTTTTTTTTCCTATTAGTTTTGTGACACATGTCATTAAACGTATCTCAGCAGAGGCGGCGGAATGATTTTGAAACTATGGATGCTTGAGGACAAGAATGCAAGGGAAAAATAAGCTGCTGCTGGAAGAAAACGAAAATTTTCAAAATCTGTGGGTGCCAAAACACCCATGGTCCCTATAACTCCGCCGCCCCTGGATCTCAGTCTTTTGATCCAGATACATTCGTCCTCTTTTCCTCTTTGGTATAATCTACACAAGCTGATTATTGATATTTCCTGAACTCAGAATTGCTCTCTAGTCGTTCCATATCTTCTATGGCTAACCCTAGAACAACATCAATGCTAGTGTCGTTCTTCTCTGTCGAAAAAAAAATGGCCGCACTCTTGAATGAAGTCGTACAGGGCAACGCGATACGACATGGATGAACACCGGGTTCAAAGTCTGAGTCTGAATACATGTTCATTTTATTCCAGGCTGTAATTATGAAATCCGCCTTATCCAGATCGAAGGTCGCCGCTATCTTTGATTTATCTGGTTGTGATGTGATCCATGCAAGCGTTGTTCGTATTTCGTCACTTGTGTTGGAGACAATGGCCTGGTGAACTTGACTACTTAATGGACCGAGACGGTTTTCACTGATTAATTGCGTCGTTTCCATTTCTAAATATGAGAATACGATTGCATTTCCAAAATAAGTCGAGGGTACCAACGGCTGTCTTAGACGTGGACGAATATCCGTAGAAATGTAAAGTTTCGCCATTGATGAGGATGAACGCCGGGCGATAGCGATATGGCGATAGAGGTGAGCGGTGAGAGCATCGAATGTCGACACATACGCAACATCAAACGGCAACTGGCTCGTGGCATCCAACTTCATTCGGTTGAGCTCATCACACGAAAATCGAAATATTTTGACGACTGATCGTACTGCGTCAACTGTTGACACTGACGGCAGGGTCTCCTGTCTAATATAATGAGTCTTTTGGTTGTTAAAATTGGGATGAGAGTTTTTTCTGGCTGCCGTTTCAGCTAGAGTTGGTTCTAGGAGAGATCGTTGATGACAGACAACCGGATGATACTGAGAATTTTTGTATAATTGTGCCCAGTCTCGCACTAGTTGGAAATACGAATGGGCATCGCCGGCACAATGATTAAAATGGATTCCCAGTGCTACACTGCCACACATAAATCGAGTATGTTGAATGTGCAAAATTGTTTGTAAATCGGTCGTATTTATCAGTTCAAGTGATTCGGGCAGACTCATTGTGCTCGTATATTCTTCGACTGACAAAGGCAAATGGTTCAAGAAAATGTCTGCTGATGCCGAGACAAATGGAACACCACCTCTACCATCGTCATCTTGTTCTATAGACATCGTATTATCCTCGTCATGCCGTTTGAATACACCCGCTAACATAGGATAATACTCGAGCAATTTTCTCAAGCTCGATATCAGTTGTTCAACATTCATAAACATATCATTCGCTTCTTTCCTGTGTAAAGACCATTGTCTGATGTTGTAGAAGTACACACAGCGAATCGTGTGAATCGGTGGCATTATCCAATCATTCGGAGATAGTCTGAACGATTTAGACGAACAAGCGGATGACGGGACATTTAAGATGGTAGTTGATATAGTTCTTTCTGAAAGAAACACAAATGATTCTTCTATAGGGCTGTAGATCAGATGAACAGAACATCTTCACTTACGAACAACGTTTGAGTGTTGCTTCATTTTACTATAATGTTGTCTATTGGATTTCTTTTGACTTTCGTCCTTTATGTTGTTGATCTTTATATCTTAGACTGAAATTACTCAATTCTTTTCTTCCTTCATTTTTGTTTAGTGTAATTGTGAAATATCTGAGAAAATAAAACACAAAAAGTCGGCGTGAGGAGATCATATAGGTGTACTTAATAGGACCAATCAGAAACAGGAGCACATTGTCGGTTACTTATCCTGACTGTATATTTGAATACTTTTTAAAACAAAAAATTTAATTAGTGCGTTTAGCTGAGACTTTAAAATGCACCGGAAAAGTTTCTGACCGATTTCCAAGGAGACAGTTCGTTAATAGCGTTCTTGTAGACTGTGTTCTTTTCTTTTACGTTGCAATTTTTTCTTCTATTGTTATCTCTTTTTAATATTTATCATTTTTTGCTTTATAATATGCAAAGATGAGCAATGATTAAAACAAAAGTTGCGCCAACAGGAGGGCCCAACGATACCACTACACTCACATGCATACGTTAGTAGTCAAAGCAACAGAATGGTAATATCGCGAGATACTAGAATGATTCGAGGAGCTGTCTCTTTTGATATGTATTCGTTTAAATCAGAAAGGTGACGAATGGAAAACTAAGCCAGGCGAGAAGACGTGTTTCTAATTAAGCATCCGCTAGCCAAGTAAAAATATTAGGTTTTTGTAGTAAAATAATTGAAAAAAATCTAATTTTTTACATTATTTCTCAATATAATCTGAGTTATTGGGACCACAACAATACTGGGAATGGAGGATAAGCCTCCGAATGGAGGATTAAATCAAGTGAAACGAAAAACAATAATTCAGAATGATACAGAGCCGAAAAACAAAACAAGAAGCAATTTTCATCAAAAACAGCAGCAAAGTCAACAAACAACAAAAGTCAGTTCGCATCATTAATATTACAAGGTGTGACGATGACAAGATATGAATTAAGTAACTTCATTAAAACTAAAATACCTGATGTAAAACTGACTGATATACAATCAAATAGAAATGGTACACTAACAAAATTCGCTAGTGATGTTTACAGCTATAATAAGATACTGTTAGAATTAGCAAAACATAAATACGACAATGCCAACTACGTCAAAGTATACACATCAAGATCCACAGAAAAAGTGACTCAAACGGACAAGCAGGCATTTTTAAAGAATGTCGACGTAGAGATTGCAATACAAGAGATCGAAGCAGCACTTAAATCTTCAGAATTTGACATTGACACAGTAGAACGTTTAAAAAATTATAAAAAAGACGGAGATGGAACCACGGTAAAGGTTACATTTGTCGATGTCCACAATCGTTCGTACCGGCCTCCGAATCGATCATTTTAATATAAGAGCAGAAGCTGCAAGATATAATACCAATCATGATATAGAACAGTGTAATGCACAAAATCAACAAATTAAATGCAAAAATTATAATGGACAACATCTAGTAACTTTTCTGCCGTCAACATTTTCATCCTCGATGCCACAAAATGCACATTGTGATGTGGAATTTGCAATCGAAGAAGAAGAGAATGATTCAACTAATATAGATGATAATAAAGATAATGATGATGAGAAGAGCATTGAGCTAGACGAACCATCTACATCAACAACTACTAACTACGATATAACGGCTGCCTCGTTACATGAAACAAATTTACATCAGAAACAGACTCACATTATCAAATTTTAAGATTTTTAGGCGTGACAGAACTGATGAACGAGGAGGAGGAGTGATTTTAGCACTCTGGATGGTGTCACGAGGTAGTTTTATATGTCAAACTATTTCTTCACCAAAAGATATAGTAGAAAGAACGATCCATAACTCTTTTAACTCGCACCGTATGTATTTTACAGTAGAATAATCGAAACCGGTACCCTATCAGTGCGTTAGCCCGTTAATGATTTACTAGCTTTGTTCCATCTCTGAGCCGATCGATTCATCGGTAGCCGCCAAGATATTCTTCACCCTCAGAACAGCACTAATGGTCTTTGCGCATATTAGATACGACCTCCCATGTAATCGTCTGCGTTCGAAAAAACGCGTTTGAACGCTGTTTTTGGCTTTTAAACGCATTTCGTAAAAACCTGCGTTTGAGTCGGACGCGTTTGAACGCTTTTTATGTGTGAGAAGCGTTCGAACGTCTTTTTCCAAGCGTTTTTGTTAAGCGTTTGACTATTAAAGACGTTTAAACGCTGAAGATATTTAATACTCCGAACGCGTTTTGATTTGAACAGACTTCTGAACTCTGTCTCAAACAGCGTTTGAAGGCGTTCCTATTATTAAACGCCTCAGCACGCTGTAGATATTTGATCCTCTGAACGCATTCGAATTGTTGAACGCGTTTGAAAGCGTTCTAATTTGAACAGACGCCTGAACGCGGTTTTGAAAAAGGTTCGGATAACGTTCGGAACGGGTTATATTATTGAACAGCTCAACTTGCTTCACACGTTCAATAGTCTAAAGCTATTTGAGGTTTGAACATAGCATACAAGTCAAAAAACGAAAAATAATCTTACTGTTCTCCACTAGCATTCTATGCTCGTCTATACATAGGACTAAATACAGAAATAAACTGAAGAACAGATGTGAACTTTATCTGTAAAACTGAGCTGTAATTTAATAATACTGTTACTCTTTTTTTTTGAATACATCATAAGAACGGCTGAACCCTAGAGAGTGCGATTGTTTGGTGTACATCTAAAAGAAACAACTAGGACTAATCGTCAGAAATGCCGCCAGGAAGATGCTGGCAAGAAATGCGTTTGAACGCTTCAAATGTTTCGTTTCTCGGTCGTTTTTAAGCGTTTGAACGCTATTGACCAGGTAAAGACGTTCGAACGCGTTTGTGTACAAGCGGAAAAAGAACGTTTAAACGGCACAAATGTTTCATTTTTAAGCCGTTTAAACGCGTTTGTCTTGCGTTTATGAACACCGTTTGTAAACGCGTTTTTTCGATTATAAGTTATTACATGGGGCTCGGATGACAGTCTGTTATCTTTTTTTGCTTGTTCTAAGCACTATTTGTTATCCATTTAGTCGTTGGGTTTGTCAAAAAAAGAGGAAGAAATTGCCTTTTTTTCAATTGACTATCTAAACTTAAAAATATCAAATTACTAGCAATACAAAAAGGAGAAAAAACATCGGAATAATTGAAGAAATTGTTTTTTATCTATTGTACTATACTAGTCACTGTTCTAACATTAAGCAGCACAATATCCAGCTGTTTGAGTATTACATAGATTTTCATAACAGCATAAATAAAATTTGGAATCACATTTCAAATTTTTATCAAACAGTTCACCAAATCCAAAACCACCACGACGCACAACTTTGCCCGTTTTAGGATCAAATCTCTAAACACCCATAGTTAATAATATCTGCTTGATAGTTCAGCGATAAGCACTTACCGAATAACAATACAGAGTTTTTCCACCAAAGGCACCGGATGTTCGCAGTTCTTGACCTTGTAATTTGTCTGGTTCACAATTCGCAGCACCTTTACAACTGTAACACGCTTTCACTTCTTTTTTAGCAGTAATTTTTTCTAGATTACAATAGAAAACAAATCGTTTTCAAAGAGCTAAGTCGTAATTAGCAGGCCTTTTTCGAGTTTCATTTTCACATGGAATATAAATTAGTCTGGACAGTGCATATCAGCATTCTATAATAACTTGAGTTATACGATAGTAAATGTCTAGTTCATTTTAAGAAAACCAGAACACTATGAGTGCTAGAAGAAAGGTATTCGATTTTGCCTCTTGTATTACCTGTATACAGTGGGCATTTCCTCATAGAGCAGGCGGCATTCTTTGCCGACATAGTTTTTTTGAATCCGTTACAGCTGTAACGTTTGAGCGGCTCAACATTTTAGACTGAAACTTCTTACATGGTCCTTAAAACATGCTAGCATCTATACTCTGAAAGGCTGCTTAATGTCGGGTGCACAACGTAGACAAAAGCTTTGTAAGTAGAAAGTGCATTTCACCGTTATTATACATTATTCGAACAGTGTACAAACCAAGTACTAAATCAATCTCCGCGTCATTTCTCTCATATCTACAGAAGTCACTTCTAATTCAAATGAATATGCTATGAAAACTGTGGTTATATTAGGATGGAATTAATCGCTAACGTCTTTTGACTAATAGTTCTGGTACTAAATCTCGGTATTTTCCCGATCAGAATTCCGAGATGGTGGACTAAACGCTAAGCAGGGGCCGCAGTAGCCTACCATTAAATATTACAATCAAGATTTTTCGATCATAAAACTGATTCAACCAACAAACCATGTAGCTAATAGCTTTGTCCTGGTATTAAAAGTAAAATAAAATTCATTTGTACTGTTTGTGGACTGGAAGACATTAGTCGCAAGAATGGTGAATACATATACATGACTTAACACACACTTACAGTTTCTTACTGGTTACTAACTGAAAAATATGCAAAATCTGGAAAACCACAAAAAACCAGCTTAAATCAGGTCCTTTTCAAGACAATCAGGACGATGTAAACAAGTGAGGAAAAAATCAGGAGATCACGACTGCTGTGGCCCCTAGATACGCCTTTACCTTGATCTGTGAAAGATTATTAGTGGAACACTTGGGAATACAATGATCTGTAGACCTCTTTCTCACACGAATGAAAAAAACAAGCCAAAACTTATCAGCTTTCAGCACAGTATAATTTTTCATAATTGTAGTGTATATTACACTTCTTCTTACCATTGTTTAAGTGTAATAATTTATTTCTTCTTAGTCTTACCCGGTGGTGGACATGGTGCTTTCGTGTGTGTGTTACAAAATCCTTTTCGACAGCAAATATGATAACGATCACGACATTTGAAATTTTTGTCATACGTCTCGCCGAGGCCAAATGCACCACGCTTGATAATATTGCCGTTCTCATCGAATTTCTAGAAACGAAAGACTAACAAATCAGTGGAAGAATCAGGATATGAAAATTGCAGGTCACTCGCAGACAGTTTTTGAACTTTGAATGCGTTTATCCGAAGCAAAACGAGTGATAAAGACTTCAAATTTTCGGTAAATATGTAACTCAATAAGTTCTGCAAACATTGACGCTTTATTCGTTGAGTCGTTTGTTGCCAGGATAAATATCACACAGACAAAACAAAGTCCTCTTTTTTTATGAAGGTTCAAAACAATAAAATGTCTCGAATTATTCCACAACAGCAAACTTTTCTTTATTATAAGTTTGTGGAAGAGACTTCAGCCAATCTTCTAGTAAAAAAGTAGTTGTGATAACTTAAAAAAAAGACTGCGTTTATTGATAACACGTTACGGTAATGCACAGACATTTTTTTCTTCGAACCTTTTTTCTAGTGTTTAAATTTGATCAAAAAACTTGAAGAAATCATTCAAAGGTTCTGATTTAGCGTGTATGCAGACAATCAAGTGTCCTATACAAGATGCATTCCAAAATAAAAAGGTGAAATAAACAACATTTCAAGTTTGCGTAAGATAAAAAATGCGAAAAACAATTTGGCCGAAAATATTGATGTGTAGTTACAAGATCTTTCTTGTGATGCTAGATTTCTTAAATATATAGTCAGTTTTGTAGAGAACTAAATTCGCTATTCGATGGGGATACTTATTTGAGAATTTACTAAAAAAATTTAGGAGATTGAAGAAATATAAAATAAAAGAATAAAAAATTTCAAATTTAAATTTCGTACTTTAAGACTGGATCTTTTTTAATGTTAGAACTGGTTCATTATGTATCAAATAGATAAAATTCAATTTTAAACAGTTCAGTTTTGAAAGCTGATATTTTCTACATATGTGGTATGGGCAAGGGGGAAAAAGCATACTTCTGTACTTCTCCGTACTTCTTGATACTTCTTCGTACTTCTTCGTACTTTTTTGTACTTCTCCGTACTTCTGAAGTACGCAGTACGAAATACGGGATTTCGTATTTCGTACTTCGTACTTCAGAAGTACGGAGAAGTACAAAAAAGTACGAAGAAGTATCAAGAAGTACGGAGAAGTACC